GTTGGTAGTGAGGCGTGGTTTGTTGTGTAGGCGTGGTTTGTTGTGTAGGCGTGGTTTGTTGTGTGGGCGTGGTTTGTTGTGTGGGCGTGGTTTGTTGTGTAGGCGTGGTTTGTTATGTGGGGATGGTGTGAGGTCATATGGGCGTGGAAACATGTACACAAGAAGGAATATAGACACGATATAACCAGGGATAGGGCGTGTAGGTGTGATATAGCATGAGGTAGGCGTGTGGGCGCGGTACAGCAGTATGACGTCAGCAAACCAAAGCAGGGAATTGTGTAGTAATCTCAGTGCTGTTGTGTTATGATGCAGGAATTCAGTCACAGGTGATGGGTGAGGGGGTGGGTGAGGGGGAATGGTGGGGTGAGGGAGAATGATGGGTGAGGAAGAATGGTGGGTGAGGGGGATGGTGGATGAGGGAGAGTGTTAGGTGAGGGAAAGTGAATGGTTAGGGAGGGAGGTGGGTGAGGAGGATGGTGGGTGAGGGGAAGTGGTGGGTTAAGGAGAATGGTGGGTGAGGGGATGGTGAGTGAGGGGGAATGGTGGAGTGTGGGAAGAAGGTGGTGGGTTGGGTAGAATGATGGATAAGGGAGGGATGGAAAGGAAGAATGGAATGGGACGAAGGATGGAAGAAGGAAAGAGGGAGGAAGGAATGGAATGGAAGGGGAGGGGGAAATAGAATGGGGGAAGGAGGGCGGGGAGAAGGAATAGAATGGCAATAAAAAAGGGAAAAATGTGGGAAGAATGGAATAGAAGGGAAAGAAGGAGGGAAATAAAGAGGGAGGGACAGAGACACAACGGGAGCCATCATAACAAAAGACACCATCACACATACATATACCCAGGGGACACTTGTTCTTCTGTGTGTTTACCGGGCCGAAACTCCTCCTGAATCATAGAAGTAGGATAGCAACGACTCTGCCATCTCAGTTACTTTATATATTCCTACTTAGAGACTGTATAGGAAATATATATATGATAATTTTATACCACTTTCCCTCTTTGTAATATATATTTGTGGTTTATTTTATTATATTATTTTATTATTTATTGCCATTGGTGGTTTGAACGGTTAGAGAAAATGTCTGTTGGTCTGTTTGTAGCATTTTTTTGTGGGAATTTTTTATTTAAATGGAATCTGGTTTTAAGTGAATTACGGTAAGTATAAAGTAAAGTCGAACTGTGGTTTTATAAGTATTAGAGAATAAGAGAAATAACTGTGTTTATTACGATATTTGGAACGTTACAGAACATATGATCTTGTTCTGGTTATTATGAGATACGTTTTCTATGATGAAGGGGTGACTTGTAGATCTTTGACTCACTTGCAATATTCTGCCAAAACATTAACGAATATCTGATGAGCGAACGTAATATCATAAACAGTAGTGCATTATTTACTTGTTAAAAATAAGGGGGTTTATTTTTCTTTACTGTATATATTATAAGTTCTTAAATATAATGTTATAATGTAGTGGAAAATTTTAAGTTCAGATGATAACAATTTTCTCCAGTGTAGGAAAAGTGAGAAGATATTTGACTATTTTAACTCGATACATAAATAACGACCCAAATTACCTCTCAACTACACTACGATTCTACCTAATTACCTTCTCCTTCCTCTATAACAACAGTGATTTGGGTAATAGATTCAATTCACCAATCATAATAAAAGATTTCAACCTATTTATCTGGTTTTTAAAAATATTGAGAATGATAGGAAATATTTATCATCCTATTCCCTTTTATAATCCCGAGTGTCACTATATTATGTAAACCTCAATATAATATTCTATGATTAATTCTTCTGGTCCTTGTTCATCAGTGTCTCGCTGAGTGGGACCTGAAATAATGATTAATAAGTAGATTATATTATATCGGCATGATGGGGTTAGGATGGAGAGAGAGAGAGAGAGAGAGAGAGAGAGAGAGAGCACAGTCTTATCGGTATATCAGACAAACCTTCCGTCGGCTGTGAAGTCAGATAACGAAATGTCAGAGGAAGGTGACGCTGTGATATCATTATTTAGACCGCTACCAGACTGTCTCAAATGAGGGAACATATTTATTGTGCTGCCAGGCGCCATTATGGAGGTAGTATCTTACTGCACTGCCAGGCGCCGCTGTAGAGGTATACTGCACTGCCAGACGGATCACACAAAATATAGAACGATTTTTTTTTACCATTATTCCTGGACTCGGATATGCCTGATGTAATCTGAAAATGCCACGTGATGCAGAATGTGTTGATTTTTTTCTGTGTGGTTGATGCTTCAGTCTTTATCTGTAGCCACAAGCCATGAACACCACGGGAATGGAGTGATAAATTTTCCTCCCCAAATTAACTCTGGTGGAACATCGGGTGTGATATATGTCTGAGTGCCGCCAGAGGGAGGATATTATATACACGTGGCTGCCTTATATGTGTCATGCATTCATCCTAAAAGGTTTTAATACGGATATGAACGACGTTATTAAAACATTTCTTACCAATTTCAACTTTACGTGAGCTTAGACGCATTTTGTTGGGGGGTTGAATTTATGTGGGTATATTTAAGTTGTAATGAAGTTTAGAGAGTTATTGTTTGAATTCAGAAGCCCCACGACTAACTTTTTCCCCAAATTGGATCAAAGTTTTTAGTCGCAGTAGTCAGTCAGCTCCATGCACGCTTCTCTTAGTTGACTTAAAGAATATTTCCTCTAGTCTCAAGTTCCCTCACGCCACGGATTCCTCACAGCACCAGCGTATGATCATCTCTGTTTACAAAATATCGTCGATCTTGTGCAGTATTGACGTGCAGCCTACAAGCACGACAGTCTACAAGCACTCCTGGCTAGTAAGATAGTAATTTAAAATAGTTAGTAAATTTGTATAATAGCGTCTGAAATAATCCACTCAGGAAAATAAAATCGCCAAAAACTCTCCCTGGAAAAATCTATAAAGGCAATGCTAGACTACGCTGCCAAATGTATAACTCATTTCTAGCCCAAACTATTTTATCCCAAGTATTCTCAACCTACCTGGACTCCATTAACTTATCGCTCCTCTGCTTAACCTAACCTAACCTCGTACTGAAGGTGCTGCATAATTTGACCACCCTGTAGTATTAAAAGATTCAGGTCGTAAAAATATAATATATACAAAGTATTGAGTTTATGGCAACTATAATCCCATGTGGCAAGTCGGCTGCCTGCCAGACGCCACCAGCTTGATACAAGAGTGCACTGAACACTTAAGAACCACGACTTGAGATTTTTGCATCGCGTTTTACTCTGTTTACCTTCTTGTGGACACAGAGACACCCAATCGCATAGCTGTTTTAATATGAACGAGTCTTGTCATTGGATTATTGAACTTCATCGAGCACACAGTAGGAGGATTTTTTTAGCTGTGAAATCCAATATAAATATCTCTCTATTTTGCCTACGTCTGCTTGAATCTCTCGGGTGATGCTCAGCGAGACGAAAATTTCTGGAGAAGAAACTCATCTTGAGGAAATTCCTATTAAAATGGACAGGTAGCGAAGGTGGGCCGTGGTGCTGGCTAAACCTAATACTTCACTTTGCACTTTATATATATATATATTTTTTTTTTCAACGAATTCAATTTGAGGACTTTTATACATATTTATTGCCCGCTTATTATTTCGGTGTGTGTGTGTGTGTGTGTGTGTGTGTGTGTGTGTGTGTGTGTGTGTGTACCAAGAGATGTGTGTACTAACAGATGACTACTATTAACATGTGTGTACCCAATGTGTGTATTAACAGATGTGTGTACTAACATATGTGTACTAACAGATGTGTACCAGATGTGTGTACTTACAGATGTATGTGCTAACAGGTGTGTACTATTTACAGATGTGCTCAACGGGTACAATGGCACCATCTTCGCTTACGGACAGACATCATCGGGGAAGACGCACACTATGGAAGGAAAGCTGGGAGATCCGACCTGGCAGGGTGAGTACTGTTTGTGTTTCTCTATCTCTGTTCGTGTCTGTTTATTTGTGTCTGTCTATTTCTGTCTATCTGTCTGTCTATATATGTTTATTATTATTATTATTATTATTATTATTATTATTATTATTATTATTATTATCCCCACTTCTCTCATTTTTTCCCACGCTTTCGATAATTTCCCGCCATAAAATCTAGCATGTATTTCCCAATGGTATTTCCCTTCCTGGATATTGTAATTAACCTGTAGCGGCCTTTGGGGTACGGTCAGCCCACTAGATTTATCCTGCCTTTAATCCATTACATTAATTAGGTAACAAACTCCCGAATCTCAGTATATCAAGAGTGTATCAAACGTTATTATATACCTTGATAATGATGTGGATTTTAGTAGTGTTAGAGGCCTGTACTCACCTGTTAATATGACCTGTATTCACCTGTTAATATGACCTGTACTTACCTGTGTCTCCTCTCCTTCAGGTATCATCCCCAGAATCGTCCATGATATCTTCAATCACATCTACAATATGGAGGAGGCGTTGGAGTTCCACATCAAGGTCTCCTACTTCGAGATCTACATGGATAAGATCAGAGACTTGTTGGATGGTGAGTCTTGTGTGAGGTGTGTGAGGGAGGGTGTGTGAGAGGTGAGGGGTGAGGTGGATGGGGTGTGTGTAGGGTGTGAGAAGTGTATAATATTTTGTACCCTGAACCCACATCTCCACTATTGTAACGTTCATGACAATAAACCATCACAACCACTACTGTAACCTCCTGTAATGTATGTGTTTGTGTACCGACAGTATCCAAGGTGAATCTGTCGGTGCATGAAGACAAGAACCGAGTTCCATCGGTAAAAGGCGCCACCGAGCGATTCGTTTCATCCCCTGAAGAGGTCTTTGAGGTGATCGAATTGGGCAAGTCCAATCGGCACGTCGCTGTCACAAGTAAGTCCAACAGGCGTCACGAACAAGTCCAATAAGAACTTCGTCGTAACAGGTAAGTACAACAGACGTCACCAATACAGAAAGTTCAATTATTACTTTCGTCATCACAGGTAAGTCCGAGAGACACTTTCTCCGTCACAAGTAAGTCCAACCAACCTCTTCAAGTGCCACAAGTTCCATAAATGAATCTCGATTTGTCATCTTATTGTTGATAAAAAAAATAAGAACTTGGTCGCCATGACACTTTACCTCACGATCTAGTAAGGAAAGTGATAAATTATTATTATTATTATTATCTCCACAGACATGAACGAACACAGCTCCCGTTCCCATAGTGTGTTCTTGATCCAGGTGAAGCAAGAGAACATTGAGAACCAGAAGAAGCTGCTGGGCAAATTATATCTCGTTGATCTGGCTGGTTCAGAGAAGGTGAGATACTGTTTGTTTACAAGATTGCTCCCTGTGTTGACGACTCTTGAAAGCCTTTTAGGGAGACATCAACCCTCGAGGGACATTTAAGGAGGACATTATCCCTTGAGGGACCTTTTACCTCTATAACACATGTATATTTTCACCGGTTGACGACACTACACAGGTGTGTTACTCTAATATAGAAGATGAACCAGAACAACATGATTTCGGGGTCAGGGGATGAAAGGTCATAGGTCACTTAAGCTAACTTAGGGGTCGGGGTGTATTTGAATACCTAGATTTAATTGTAGCATAAACCAAGTTGACCTTTTACTATCCTATACACGTCATGTTTTTGTTTATATATATTTCTGTCCTTTAACGAGTAAGGTCTTTAATCACCCACTAAAAGGTCAGTACAGAATACAGTAACTGCGAACAATTAAGAAAGGTAACTTTCTCTGCAGGTGAGCAAGACAGGTGCTGAAGGGTCGGTGTTGGACGAGGCTAAAAACATCAACAAATCCCTGTCAGCGCTCGGTAACGTCATCGCTGCTCTGGCTGATGGAAAGGTGAGGTGATCATTAATTACTTCTATATTCTACAGGTGAAGGCCAGCCATCTTAAGGGTATATTATTATTTACCGCTGAAAATCAAAGTTATAATAAACATACATAAGTTATTTTGCTTTCTTTGATACTGCATGAATTTATAAACTTGATATTTACTGTGTTGTTAATTTTTGTTAATATTACTTGACGTTTTGGCTGTTCCGTGGAGGTGGGGAAATAGTCGACTGCATGTACTGACACTGTCACTTATTGTAAAGGCCTGGGACTTACGGATAGAAATCACTTACCAGGCTAATTAGGATCTTAAAGGAAAGTCAAGGACCATGGTTTTCTGAGGAATAACAAACAACCGTTTGAGATTGACATCTCTTTACTATAAAAAATATAACACAAAACTCTGACACCACTCAACAAACATCAAATAATTACGGGAGTCAAACAATTAAGGCAGTCAACAGTTAATGGAGTCAAACAATTAATGGAAGCAAACAATTAAAGGAATCAAACAATGAACAAATATTTCCTACGGCAGTGGCCCTGGGGGAAGGTTCTGGAACACGGTGATGCACACTCAGGGCAGGGAAGCGTCCATTCACTCCACACTCAGCGACGTCTTGAAATGGCAGGAGAACACCGGGGCACCGACGGAATGTGAGGAACTGATGGTCGTGGTATGGTAGTGGAACACCAGAACGATTTTAGTTAAGACGCAGAGGAATTGTTTCAGTAAAACTTGGGTAGGCGAGTCTCAAATCCGTGAGCGAAAGTTTATGGGAAAGATTCGAAGTAAAATGATCGTCAGATTTTCAGGTCACCGTGACGTTTTGAATGTATCTTTTCATAAATAATTTTAATATTTAGATGTTGCCCGTCCGTCTGTCACGAAGACGAGTTAGATGGTGCACACACACAGCTTAACAAGTGACCTCGTTATTCTCAGCATACTTTTACTATGATATTCAACATGACTGAAAAAAAATCAAAAGAAAAATTTGGTTAAAAACATATTTTTCTCCTCCACACAACTTTTGATAAATATTTTTCTAAATCTCACGAAAGACCTTGTTACGACCCTTGGCCTCATAGGGTGTAACAATATCACAAATTCATATTTCTCTTTGTACTATAGGTCCAGGAATAGATCCCACCAAATTCATCACCTCATTACTATGGGGTATATTAAAATTCATGAAGTAGATTTAATTAAAAATATTATATTAACAAACACTAAAACAACAATAATACGATAAGATGTTTGGAAGTGGCTGAGTAAGACTGAAGGTCCAACATTATCACACAATATCAATCAATACAAATCACAAAAGTCAAATGCCAACTCCCAAAACATAAGAGAGAGAGTATATTACTTAACTTAAAGACAGCTGTGCCTAGACTGACTACCGACGTCACCTTTTACCGCCAAATACTGACGTAACATATCCTGATTGGCTAAGACATAAAACTATATTTAAATTACCCTACTGACATTAATTCCACATATGTACAAACCTAATGTAATTAAACAATACAATAAACCATAATACAATGTAATAAACAAAGTTAATAAGGGCTCAGTTGGTGTGGGCGAGTAGTGAACGAAGCTGCCCGAGACACCCACACACCATCCCAAACAACGAATTTTATACAAAGAACAGAAACTAACAGCGGACACTGGTAACAACCTTATACAATAAAAATGTAAATATTGCCTCTCTGAAACTTATTTATTTTTTATTGATTTTATTTGGGACAAGAATAAAATGAAGATTAATGACTTACGATTTGTATTAGGGAGTTTCATCTCTTTGTTAACATTTTGGTGTTGTCACTCGTGTCTCTCTCCCCGTCTCTCACCTTTTTAACATTGCTTCATCACCCTGTTTACATTTTGGTGTTGGTGTCATTCTCTCCCTTCACCACTTTGCTTACATTCTGGTATTGTGACTCCCTCCTCCTTCCCCTACAGACTCACGTGCCTTACCGAGACTCCAAGCTGACGCGCATCTTACAAGAGAGTCTGGGAGGCAATGCTCGTACCACCATTGTAATCTGTGCTTCTCCCGCGTCCTTCAACGAGTCTGAGACAAGATCCACGTTAGATTTTGGCAAGAGGTAAGACATTAAGGTGTTGATATAAATTACTGTGATTTACCTGTTTTTTTAGGGTATTTTTTGAGATATAGAGAAGACTTGAATGAACGGGTATTAATTACTAAGATTTACACCTGCGCTTTCATTTGAGATAGATTCTTGCTATAATTTTAGACACATCCCAGCTATAATTTTAGACACATCCCAGCTATAATTTTAGACACATCCCAGCCATAATTTTAGACACATCCCAGCTATAGTTTTAGACTGTATCAAAGTATATGATGTGTTTTTAATTTTCCAGGGCTAAGACAATCAAGAACTGTGTGTGTGTTAACGAGGAGTTAACAGCTGAGGAATGGAAGCGACGTTTTAACAAAGAGAAAGAGAAGGTGAGAGATAATGTATTGTGGTATTGCATGTTATTGGTACAGTGTTATGGTGTCTCTCCAATGCACCATATTTACTGTACCCAATTTGATACTAGTTACCGTCCTGTCTTTCCTACACCATACCAATTTCTGATAACACTGTACCCCCTCTCTCCTACACCATAACAATTTCTGATATCACTGTACCCCCTCTCTCCTACACCATACCAATTTGTGATAACTCTGTACCCCCTCTCTCCTACACCATACCAATTTCTGATATCACTGTACCCCCTCTCTCCTACACCATACCAATTTCTGATATCACTGTACCCCCTCTCTCCTACACCATACCAATTTGTGATACCACTGCCCCTCCTCTCCCCCTACACCATACCAATTTCTATTGTTATTGTAGATACTGATATGATCCTGGTTCACCAAAATATGTAAACCCTAAATTCATCTTCTTACTTACAGAACACAAAGCTTAAGGCCCAAGTGGAGAAGATGGAAACTGAACTCGCTCGTTGGCGTAGCGGTGAGAAGGTCGACTCAGAGGAGCAGATTAGCGTTGATATGGAGAAGTCTATGGTGACATCAGTGAGTGAAGGTGAGTTAATGATGTTCTCACCTGTAAATAACTCTAATTACACCTTGTGACTTACCTGCTCGGTTAAATGATAATTAATTTGTAATTTGTGTTCCATTTACCTGTACCAATAAACAGCTTCTATAACAGGTAAACAACATTAATGGATGAGTATACTTAAACATCATCTTTCAGAACCTAAGAAGCCAGCAGCACCTCCTATGAGTAACGAGGTACGTGACGCGTGGGAGAAGGAGCGTGAGCAGCTGTACATCAGCTTGGACGAAAAGGACGAAGAGATCAACCAGCATAGTCAGCTGGCCGAGAAGCTCAAGGAACAGATGCTGGAGCAGGAGGAAGTAAGTTGTTCTTTCTTGTTCATCCTGGGAGAAAAATGTTGTTGAGACAGTAACAGATACACGATAGGAATGATTTTGTTCATCCTAAAAAAAAATGAGAGATTATTAAATGATACTTATTTTTGTTCATCCTCGGAGAAAAATTTTATAGTTAGGTACTTATTAACAGCTGGGTGCACTAGGGGTGTCCTCGGAGCAAACCAGTGACCAATAGATCAGAGGGTTAAGTTACTGATGGACAGAATGTTTTATCAGGTTAGGTTAAGTTACTGATGGACAGAATGTTTTATCAGGTTAGGTTACTGATGGACAGAATGTTTTATCAGGTTAGGTTAGGTTACTGATGGACAGAATATTTTCCCAGGTACACAATATTAATTCCCCTTACTTACAACATTTCTTCCATTTATAGCTTATTGCTGCTACCCGGCGTGACTATGAGGTCCTACAGACGGAAATGTCCAGGATTCAGGCTGAGAATGACTCCGCTAAGGACGAGGTGAAGGAGGTGCTACAGGCCCTTGAGGAACTGGCCCTCAACTATGATCAAAAGAGTCAGGAGGTGGAAAGCAAGTGCAAGGAGAACGAGACACTAAACGAGGAACTTACGGAGAAACAGGTGAGGAGGTAGCGAGTCATTCTTGGAAAAAGTTTCTCTGATTCGGACGAGTGATGTGATGTCCCTTGAGTTAGATGGTCGACTCATCTTTGTTTAAGCTTCCACACAAAACCATAAACTTCATCACTACAAAGGTTTTTAGAGCAGTATTTCACCATACGTATTGTAACTAGAATAAAGTGTTAACCATTAAAAAGCAACTAGCACTGCATACTATTTCACCATTTTGCCATATTGTAACTAGCACAACTTACCAAACCATTTCCTTGCCCACAGACCACCTTAACAACAATGCAGAGTGAACTACAGCAGATGAAGGACTCGTCAGTACACCAGCGAAGGAGAATGAACGAGATGTTGTTTTCGCTTCTGTCTGATCTGGGGGAAGTTGGCACAGTGGTAGGCGGCAGTGCTGGTGATCTATCCATTAAGGTAAGGTTAGGTAAGGTTAGGTTAGGTTAGGTTAGGTTAGGTTAGGTTAGGTTAGGTTAAGTGATTAATTTAAGTGAGGGAGATGGATATAGATGGGGATAAAGAGGAATATTGAGAAGGGAAGAGATAATGTAATTGTTAACGTGAGATAGATTAGATTACAATAGAATTTGACTCATTGGAATTTGAAGTAGTTAATATCAACAGGAAATTAATTTTAATGTTTCTGAGTGTTTATTAATGAGAATATTATACACTATTTAGTATATAATCACTTGGTAGATAATATATGCAGCAGTGAATGAGTCGCAACCTCAAAAACTAACCTAACCTCTTTCCATCGTTCATTTTTTTACTCAGAATTCAGGAGATCCCAACAAACTGGAGGAAGAGTTTACCATGGCCAGACTGTACGTATCCAAGATGAAGAGTGAAGTTCGTAACCTTGTCCAGCGCTGTAGTACACTTGAGAACTTCCAGGTGAGAAAATAATGTACTAAAACTTATGAGAGTATGGAGGTGTGAAGTCATATCTTCGTTCTTAAATTTTAGTACATCTGTTTATACTGAATGTGTCCTTTTAATTCACAACAAAGCATGAAATTGTTTGGTGTACATTCATGGAAAATGTTGAGCTCTTTCGCGTTTTTATCTAAAATTGTCTAAAATTATCAATAAATTTACATTTTTCTTAAGGAAGATATAATAGGTAATAGTTAATTTAGTTTATTGACACACCTGGATCTCACCTTGTAAACTCCCCCTCAAGTATTAACCTTCGTCCTCTAATTAGTGTTATATCTCTTACTTACCATAACATTCACTCTTTTTTTTTCCAGGTGTTTGTTAACTTTATATACAAACTGACCAAAATTTACTTTTTATGTATTGTGTTGTGTTGTGTTGTGTTGTGTTGTGTTGGACTTGCTAGTTGTTTCAGTGTAAGAATCAAATACATATGTGTTTATATGTGTGATATTTACTACTTAATTTAGTTATTTAAAGTGTGTTGGAGGTCTGGAGGTAAAGTACAGTAGTGTTTATTTAGCCTCGACTACACACGTTGATAATACAGTCCAGTTATGTTTTATTGCATTGTTTTGCATCTGTTGTCACCTCCATCACCTGTCGTCTCCCTCACCTGGCACCTCCTTCACCTACCACCTCCCTGACCTACCATCTCCTTCACCTACCACCTCCCTGACCTGTCACCTCCTTCACCTACCACCTCCTTCACCTACCACCTCCCTGACCTACCACCTCCTTCACCTACCACCTCCCTGACCTGCCACCTCCTTCACCTACCACCTCCCTGACCTACCACCTCCATCACCTACCACCTCCCTGACCTACCATCTCCTTCACCTACCACCTCCCTGACCTGTCACCTCCTTCACCTACCACCTCCTGACCTACCACCTCCTTCACCTACCACCTCCCTGACCCACCACCTCCTTCACCTACCACCTCCCCTGACCTGTCACCTCCTTCACCTACCACCTCCCTCCCCCTGACCTCCCTGACCTACCACCTCCTTCACCTACCACCTCCCTGACCTACCACCTCCCATCACCTACCACCTCCCTGACCTACCACCTCCTTCACCTACCACCTCCCTGACCTACCACCTCCTTCACTTGCCACCTCCCTGACCTACCACCTCCTTCACCTACCACCTCCCTGACCTGCCACCTCCATCACCTACCACCTCCCGACATAACCATCGTCCCATTCCTTCCACGAGCTTTTGTTGTTTTGATGTAAATATCGAAATAATATCCCTCAATACTTTTCTTTTGTATATTGTTACGTACTGTCAACACTTTTATTCCCTCACTATTTTAGTCTCTATGGAAGCAAATGGTAACTAATTCACTCACATGTAGAACCTTTAAAGTAGATGATTTTAAGTGTAGCCTTCAAGAATACGAGATATTTGAGGGTGAATTTAATGTTATGAAGGGACTGTAGCTATCCATGAGGTTACCCCAGACGAGGAGCCAAATGTAAACAATGTACAGGACTAAATACAGGTTATATAAATACGTGTAGTAAATTGTTGTTCCATGTTTATATGTCAACACTGTCTTCCACTTCTCCACACATCGCCCACGAAGGAAAACAGTGGATTTTTGTTTAATGTAAGTTGATTAGCGTTGAGGTGTTTACGTTTTACTATTGCAGACATAAAATGAATTAATTACTCAGATATATTTTGTGTTTGTTGTTTTTAGTAGTAGTTTACAGTCTCTTGTTAGTACTATTTTATGGAAGTTTTATTTTATTTTATTTTTTTTTTTGTCCCTGTAAGACCTTCCTCGCACCTTGTTATATTAGTCACGGTGGAAACAAAGATGAATTAAGAATGGTTGTGGGTATTCAGTTTAGTAGATGGATCACATGAAGATTAGACCCCCAGAGCTTATTTCACTATAAGATTAGCCACACTAATGCTAACCTAACCTAACCTAACCAAACCAAACCAAACCAAACCAACCCAACCCAAGCCAACCCAGATAGTATTAGAGGGCATAATCATCAGGTATAATAAGCTAAGGGTGACTAATCTTCATGTAATCCAGTAAATCCACGAGAAATGTTAACTAATCTCTATGTGTCTTTATAGGGCGACTGTAACAAGAAAATAGATGAGTATGAACGCGAGTTAAGTGATTGTCGTCTCCTGATCAGCCAACACGAGGCTCGTATGAGAACACTACAGGACTCAATGCACGAAGTTGAAGTCCGTAAGAGACAACTGGAGGAACAGGTGAGTACATGTGTTACTGAATACCTGGGAGGAAAGTAATTAGTAAAGGTGTGTAGTTTTTTATCTGGTATTAATTAGTAAAGGTGTAAAAACATTGTTATCTGGTAATATTAATTAGTAAGTGTGAAAATTATTACCTGGCTGACAAATTAATAGGTAAAAATTTAATCCTCAATATTTTCAACATTTAATTCCCTTACTTTCTTGACCTCATTTGAATACTGTATTATAGTGTCATAGCATAGACTACTATTTTGAGTGAGTGATCATAGTTTAAAAAAAAGTATTACCTCATAAAAGGGATTAAATGGTCTCTTATAGCTGGTGACACATTAGGTGCATTATGGATACAACACATATGAGATAAAGCTCTTAGTGTACATAGAGAAATCTTGGCTGGTACTACACTGTTTTCATTTCCCTGTGAGATCTGTACACACTGTCAGGTTTATACAGTTTGTTTACATATTTAGCGGTGATATTGAATGGACTGCTTCAGGTTGACTCCTTGAGTGAGGAAGTGGCCCAATTGAAGGCTGCTGAAGGCTTGAATCAATCAGAAGGACTGTCCAAAGAAGCTCTAGAGAAACAGATGGAGACGCACCGAGAACTTCATCAGAAACAGGTGGTGCAACTTAGGCTGGAGATCAACGCCAAGCAGGCACTCGTGGAAGATCTGAAGGAGTGAGTTGGTAGTCTCCATACAGTACTTGATAATCCCATATTGGTTTAATTATTGTATTTCTATTGGTTTAGGTTATGAGTAGAGTAAATAGCTTGTAGTTCCCATATACAGTAGTACTTGATGTTGCCATGTTGGTTTATCTATTGTATTTCTATTGGTTTAAAATACAAGTGTAGTAAAGAGCTTGTAGCCCCCTATACATTATTAACAAAACTTTACTCGAGTTAGGATTTAAGACGTTGTGCCATAACTAATATTTACAATTAATTCTACAGCCAAAATCAGAAGTTAAGCGTTGAACACGAGCAACTGAAAGCAGAACACAACAAACTCAAGGTTGAGGAGGCAGAGAAAAGCACACGCCTTCACGAGCTCATGTAAGTACCTCATACCGACATAGATATGCTGCTCAAATACCTTTTTTTTAACAGCAAATGTTGATTAATATTTTCTTTTTTTTTTCATTTATTTTTATAGCTTATTATTTGTGTTATCTGTTGCAATTTGGTTTTGGAGTTTAATAAAAATGGATTGTAATGGATCTTTGGGTTGATGATGACCCCACTTGAGTATATGACGTTTACTTAATATTTTATTAATGGCAAGATCATATTTTCTTTATTTTGAGTAATTAATTAAAAAAAAAACTCAAATTGTGTCAGTTCCTCAACGAATGAATTTTACACCGTCATGTGATAGTGTAATTACAAGAAATCATCCAGTTTCTCAATGGTTTAAAAATATACCACTAATTACACATAACTGTAACCCATGATATATTACAAACCAACAAACTATATTAAAAAAATTCTTCACTTAAGCTTCAACCATGATAGCACCTTGTTTTGCAGAGTGTACCAGCTTAATGCATGGCCTATTGCACTACATACCTCCCCTCCCCCACAAATTATTTATTATTTTACGTATGGAGGTCAACTCGAATCAAAATCCTCCAGTGAACGCAAATCAGGAATAACAAGTGAGTAAGAGAGACGATGTGCTTTATCGTCAACTTGTAGGAATCTGCTAGTTGAGGTAGAGAGAGTGGTAGATTAACTTAGAACTGTGTGCAGGATTGATGCTTTGTAAACCAGTGCTTCTGTCAACTATAGTATTACCAAAGAGGAAGTAAACTTATGATTATTGGCTAAGTTATTCCTGTATGGATTATAGATCATATAATTTAACAAATAATTAAATAGAATAATTTCACAGGAATACAAAAATTTATTGTAAAATGTAAATTAAAAAAAATCGTACATAGGCTAACGAAACTCCGCCTAATAAATTAAATCATCTGCTTTATGTTAACTGAACGAACCATTATGCAAATTGAACATAAAAAGAGAGATTCCCTTAATTATCGTAAATAACCAATAATATATCGATACTTTATTCAAAACACTACGGAAATTTCTTAACTTTATTGAAACTATACCATTACCAGGCTCAAAATATATAAAGTTTCTAGATATTTTGAGTAATTGAAGTATATAATCTTTTCTTGGTTCATTAAACCAGAATTAATTTAGTGACATTAAAAAATAAATAAATCGTAGAGCATCGTAACTTTTTTAAATATCTTTCACAAACCCATTTTTTTTCTTCACTTTTTGATCTATTTGTTGTGGTTTATCTTGTTATCTTCTGACACACCTGACGACGACTCATGACACACCTGACTGCCACTCATGACACACCTGACTCTACCACTCATGACACACCTGTCTTGAAGTACGGTATAAACGTTACTCCAATTATTTGTTATTGTTTTTCCTTAAATTCTTCTAGATAATTGCTTCTATGATCTGGCAATTATTCATTTGTTTTGTATATAGATCGATATTCATTTGTTTATACATACAGGACGTTATTCACTTGTTTATACGTACGGGACACTATTCGGCAATTATTCATTTGTTTTGTATATAGATCGATATTCATTTGTTTATACATACAGGACGTTATTCACTTGTTTATACGTACGGGACACTATTCGTTTGTTTATACATACAGGACGTTATTCACTTGTTTATACGTACGGGACACTATTCATTTGTTTATACATACAGGACGTTATTCATTTGTTTATACGTACGGGACACTATTCATTTGTTTATACATACAGGACGTTATTCATTTGTTTTTACGTACGGGACACTATTCATTTGTTTATACATACAGGACGTTATTCATTTGTTTATACGTACGGGACACTATTCATTTGTTTATACATACAGGACGTTATTCATTTGTTTATACATACAGGACGTTATTCATTTGCTTTTACGTACGGGACACTATTCATTTGTTTATACATACAGGACGTTATTCATTTGCTTTTACGTACGGGACACTATTCATTTGTTTATACATACAGGACGTTATTCACTTGTTTATACGTACGGGACACTATTCATTTGTTTATACACACGGATGTTATTCCTTTGTTTTCACATATGGGACTTGATTTATTTGTTCTTTGTATATAGATCGATCTTCATTTGTTTCTACATACTGGAGTTGATGCAGCGTACCATGCTATTGCTTTTTAATCCTCCATATTGACTCACTTCTCAGTCTTTACTAAAGCAATCCTTAAATTATATTAATACCATGTATCTGCTTAATAGCTTTATCTTTCATCTTGTTTTGTCCAATAATAAATAAATTACAGTATTATTAATCTTTTATATTCAAAGCGACAAGATATAATGAAATACTAAATAAGAGTTTACTTAAAGCCAATTCAGATTAGGAAATAAACCATTATTATTTCCGTGTTGTATTAACGTTTTCACTATTACGTGATCCGGAATTAATCTTAATATATTCTACGATTTATATCTTAGCGACTTTCAGAACAGTAGGTAAGAGTTGGTAACCACTCAGCCACCGCCTTCAACAGAGTAAACATAATTCACATTAATGTAATGAGCTAATTATTTGACAGACACACACACACACACACACACACAATAAATATTAATTTCACTGGATTTTACTGTACAGCAAAATACGATAAAAAGTAGTGGGTAAAAATAAATTACTGACATAAAATCCCAAGGCTGAAGGGAAGAGACAGGTGACGTTTGTTATAAGTTTCACAGGTAACATGACAGGTGAAATAAACTACGGCACAGGTAATGATCTGAAGACGTATTAATGTCTTCAAATTATGAGAGAAGTTTTGTAAGGAAAACAGTATTTATTTTTAAAGTAGAGTCTGCAGCTTTTGTATGATTTGCCATCACTTATACTGCTGGTATTCGCAACACACTGAAGTGTTCTGCTGCTGTCCTCCTCTTGAGCTAAAACAGTGTTGAGGAGATGTTACTAAGTGTAAACAAACCATCGTGTAGAGGTCGGCAGCAGGCAGGACAGCCGCCCACCTACACTCGCCTTTAGCATGGACACACTTGTATTGAAAGCCACTGTATTTGCCACTATATTTTATTATTTATTGAATAATTACATATTATAATTTTCGTAAATAATCTTTTTAGTTCATTAATAAAAACAGAGAGGATTTGTGCATGCACAAAGGGAAGACATTTTGATTTGGGACTAAAACAAAAGAATAAATGTCTTCTCTTGTATTGCTTGCTTTAAATAGTTGATCAGATTTCATTAGTCTAGATTACCTTTCTTTTGTAAATTATGTTAAGTACATAGATCATGTCCATCTGTTTGATCGCACTGCGAGAGTACCAGTGCCTGTAACCAGCCACGAGTCATAACGGGGCAGTGGCTCAGCACACAGTTCACTCAAGGTACTTCTGATGTGAATTTACTTCATTAGAGTAAAACAAAATCAGACCCCGAGAATCAAACCAAACCAGGATGTAGAGTAGATAATTCAGAATAGGCTCAATTTTGCATATTTCCTGGTCTTTCTCAGTTTTGCTGGATTTCGGTGGGCTCAGCACCTCAATGAGGTCTCTCTTCTTCTTCACGAAACTATTAGCTTGCGTCACTGGACTCCCAGAGGCTCGACAAGGTGAGTCCTTGGGCTCCGAGAGTTGTAGGCACTCAGACCTCCCGGCCACTCAAGGTTCCTTCAGGCTACCCCAGACTCTTCAGACTCCCCCAGGCCCTCCCCCCCCCAAGTTATTATCAGACTCTGAGCTGATGTAATGATTGAGAGACCAGTGAGCGACTAACACTCTGTACGTCTATCATAAGTTAAATTCTAAAGCAGTTACAAACATCTATCTAGTTTAGAATAATGGACACAGATCAGAACAGTGCTATACACAGACTGGTTAAAGAGGACGATATATAATGTACTCGCACGCTGGCCTTATACACTCGGTGAGGACACTGGACAGTCCATCACTAGTCCCTCTACACCCCACCACGGCCTGGCTGTTGTAAGCCTGGCTTATTTGATCACGTCCAACCTTGGTGTGGCCCCCACTATGGTGTGGGCCAACCATAGTGTGGCCCCACCATGATGTGGCCCTACCTTGGTGTGGCTCACACCTTGGTGTGGCCCCACCATGGTGTGGCCTCACCATGGTCTGGCCCAACCTTGGTGTGGCCCCCACTTTGGTCTTTTCTTTAATTCTTGTTTGGCCTTAAAGTATTTCTGTTATTTATACCTCGCCTCCTCTGTGCCTCAGTGCTTGTATTTCTTGATGATGTGTGTAAGACAATGTTTGCACTCATATATAATGAAGTTATCCTTTTGTTAGATCAAAGTCTGGAGCTCTTGTTTTAATTTACTCAGTAGTAAGTCTCACTGATATGATTATTATAATGGAGGCTGTTGTCGCTGCTATCTCCAGCATATTCAATGAAGGCTGTACATTCTGCTTTGCACCAGTTGACAGCAAATTGCTTGTCAGGTGTAAACATTGGTTAGTCATCTGGGACTCGCCTTGTCACCTCTAAGTTCACTAAGTTATCACCGTGTGGAGTTTTGTAGCTTCTTATCTTGTTTTCTGTAATATTCCTCTTTGCAGACTTGCTTTAGTATTATGTTAACTTCTCTTGTAAGTAGAGATGTATCTTTTATGATTTATATTCATGCACGAGGTCAAATGCTTCTCTTTTCATTCTTTCAAACTCTCAAGTAAACAAGTAATGTTAAGGTGATGTGTAGTGTCAACAATAGCTTCTGGCATGATGTTGTTTGATGTTGTTTTGATGTTCAGTGTATTGTGTCAGATAGGTAAGTGATGACACAAATAAGAATGACTTTTGATGTTGTATGTTATTATGAATGATCACTAACACATTCTCTTGCATGTTGATAAACTGAATGAGGGAAATTTACATAGAGACCTTTATCAATTATTAATTTTGATACTGTATTTGTACTTATGGAATCCTAATCAGAATTTTTAGTTCTTTGGGACGAACTTTCTAGAGAACCTTTGAGATTACTTTTTGAAAGTTATAGTAGTAGTAGTAGTAGTAGTATAGTAATAGTAGAAGTAGTAGTAATAGTAGTAGTAGAAGTATAAGACTTGCTTGATGCTATTTCTTCTGACCTTTTCAACAATGACGACAATAAGGGAATTAATAATTAAGCTTGGATGATCTTGAGCTGTTTGACATGACTTACGATCCTATGTCAGATTTCTCACAAATAATTCCATGATTTATTCTGAGATCTTCCTGAATGAGTGCCACTAGCAAGAAGATCTCGTTTAACTAGAAATATATAACCTGAAAAAAGAGAGTAAAATTCGTTGGGTAAATTCGCGCTAAACGAGACCCATTATTCCCATCGGATCCCATGTTAAAAGCTGAGATGTGTTCCAGCCTTAAGAGTTTCGACTTTAAAACCCAATCAAAGAATTTTTACCCTGAATATTAATGCAATAGTGATTATACCTCTTGTAGTTAACTTCGTGGAGAATAACTTGGATCTATTGAGTCTCTTGATGGGGCATTCTGGCAAGCATATGGTCATTCTTTCCCTCGATATTCTGTTCGTTAAATTGAAAAGAAGTTCGTTAATTGATTTCTTTTAATGCTCTAATATAATAAGCTCGTTAAACCGAATTTTGTTTCATTGGTTATTCGTTAAGAGGCACCCTACTGTTTTTTGGTTTTAGTTTTCGTTTTAATTTCGTTGTTTATGTCTTATTTATTACTAGTATGGTGAACGTCTCAAAGAACTACCGAAGAATTGGAATTATTTACGAATATTAGCTTCAATTTAGTTTTTGAAAATATCTTCATAAAATATCGAATAACATGTAAATTTGTAGTAAGAATAATACTGTATTAGGGCTTCATTACGTGCTGCCTTGACCAATGAGCTTATCTACAATAGTTCAATGTTCTGGGTATTATATTATTATCTCATATAATATAGGAATATCCGTGTGTCTGTGTGTCTGTCTGTTCTGGGCAGCCGAAACGGCACAATCGTTTTTCATCAAACTTGGTGGAAAAATCGCAAAAAAATCGTAGAGTCGAACAAACCTGGTCCCATGTCGATGGATTCTTTAGGAAGGAATTAATTAACCATTTTATTTACGCTGGAAAACGATGTCTCTGTACGCTGTCAGCCTTCCGGCGGTTGCGCGCTAGCCAAGCACGAGCGTTCGAACTTTCACGCTTTGGTAAACTGTACCACCGTACTCGCCACCGGGCACGAAGGGCCCGCGATCACTTGTTACCTCTATTTAACGGACTATGTGGAGAGGAAAGTCCGTTATGTCAAGGGTATGTTAGCTGTGAAAACTCCATCTACCGAACTATATGGAGATAAGTCCGTTCTATCTAGTGTCCATTAATATATGACACTCAGTCTAACGGATTATATGGATAGAGAAGTCCGTTATATAGAGGTTTCACTGTATTGTTTTTCACTTCAGAAGGATTGCGTTGGGCTCTCTTTAAACACAGTAGTTATTGTATATAATTAATTTAATGCGAAAATAAATAAATTGTGAAGGAATGAGTCACATAGGAATTATCCATAACAGAAGTGACTATCGTGTGTTACCGTCTGTCTATTTGTAAGACTATAGGAATCTCTTGTTCCTGACCTGGATATAATGACTATTTTTACATAAAGTCAGGAAAACTTAAAAATCAATATGGTGTTAACAAGAGGGAAACAACAGCTTGCGTTATTAATGAAGATAATATTTTGGAGATAAGATTTGTTTCACTGATTAGGATCCACAGTGATTGTTAAGTGACTGTGAACTGTACCTCTGATGACTGAATGGTAAGTTGTGTTATTTGTTGCCACAGCATGACATTGATATAGCATGAGCATATATGGCATTAAGCTTGGAGATAATGATGATGATGATGTTTATATTCTTACGATATTTCACAAAATTTAAAAAAAAAAAATATTCATAAATTTCAAATATTGATTTTGAGTCTGATACGAAATTTACTGTATTTAGAATTGGAGTCCCAGTCCATTGTTTAAAAATAAACCAAATTACTTAAAGGTTTACCTGACTAGCATAGACACAGGTAATCACAGGTAATGGGAGTAAATTAAAATCATTCTCACCTGTTTACTTTGGCGTGTTGCGTGGGAGGCTGCCAGGTAATAGTGACACACACTCACACACTCAAATCTCAAAGACAAATATTTAATGATGCTTTGAACTATTTCGTGTGTGGGAACTGCGATCTTCATTAAGTCTATTTCATCATATACGACAGAATTGAGTAACACAACAGGCGGGAGTGAGGCTATGAAGGTGAACCAATACAATAAAGAACCAAAAGGACAGTTTATGTAACACTAAACACTAAGTTGATAGATCAGTGTTTATCGTTTACAGTGTCGGGAGTCCTGGGACCATGGTAGCCTGTCAAGAGATGGTGTGGAGGAGTCATCTCAAGAGCCGCGTAAACCATCAAAGAGAAAAGAAATTATAGTTGTAATAGGAATGAAGTCGGCTATTAACTGTTAACATTTGCATATGTGATTTATATAGAATCGGTAATGTGTTCGTAAATGATTAGTTAACGAGATTTTGTATGGTTGATATATATATATCTACTTACGTTATTATAATGAATTAATTGACAGAACTAAGATATACTAAATGAAAGATTGATGTAGGAGGTCTCGCTTTATGGCTGAGGAGACGAAATTACCCTGTGAGGTCCTTAACACTGCCAGGAGATGCATATTGATTCCTTGAGGACGATGACTTAACCCCTTGAGTATGATGACTTAATCCCCACAACGGAGGCACTAATTTTAATATTTTATTTAGCTAACACCAGACGATTATATTCAGCAGAGATGGAACCAGTGCAATAAAAACACATCTAAATATTGATGAAAGGATTCTCAACCCAAATGAGATGCTTCGATTAACAACTTAGTATTTTCTTTAATTTACTGATAAAGCGGTACAAGACAACACAGGGTTAGGGCACGTGTGTGTTATCGTCTGATATGCTAACAAGCGCCATATTGTACAGCACCAGTTTTTGATTGGCTAGCAAATTCCATATTGTACCTGGTGATACATGCCATATTGTACCATTTTCTGATCTGTCAACAAGTGCCACATTATTCCACTTTCTGATCTACTAACAAGTCCCATATTGTACCACAGTCTTTTGAATGATCGACGAGAGCAGGCCCACCATGATCTGAAGGGACTTGAAGATACTGTAGCCAAGGAACTTCAGACACTCCACAACCTGAGGAAACTGTTTGTCCAAGATCTTCAGGCTAGAGTGAGGAGGGTTAGTATGGTGTCTTATCCTGTCGTTAGAGGAAAGTTTATTGTTTTGGTGAAGGTTTATGAAGAAAATGGGACAGGAAAGAAGGGGGAACTATAGTAATAATCAAGAGGTAGCTTATACCCATATATTTATACAACATCAACAATATAACATAAGAAATCCTTTTATTTTTTTTCATTCAGTCCGCTGCAGGTGAAGATGAAGACATCCTGGGTGGCTCAGTGGCCCAGAAACAGAAGATTAGCTTTCTAGAGAACAACCTCGACCAGCTGACCAAAGTTCACAAACAGCTGGTGCGAGATAATGCTGATCTGAGGTGTGAACTGCCCAAGCTGGAGAAGAGGCTTAGGGCCACCATGGAGAGGGTTAAGGTATGGATGATATGGAGTTAGAGTCACCTTAAAATGAGATCATATTAAGTGGTGGAATGACTCACGGATTTCTCTATGGATGAGGTCACTCGGGTATATTTTTCACCTGATGATTAAACACCCTTAATGTAACTTAACCTAACCTAACCTAACCTAACCTAACCTAACCTAACCTAACCTAATAAACCTAAAATCCACAGATAGCATAATGGTGTCTAATCATCAAATGAGTAATAAGCTGTAGTACCTAATCTTCAGGTGTTCCTATGTATGTGTGAAATAGTACTAATATGTTCTCATTTTAGGGACGTAAATGCACCTGGTTTGTGTGAGAATTTTGCTTGAATATCCTTCTTTAATTCTGGGAATGAAGATTAACCCAATTATACCTTGGGATCTTTTTGTGTTTATGGCAAAAATTTTCACCCAGGTTTATTTTATTTATTTTTCTATCTGGTTTCATCATCTTTTATTTATATTTATGAGGTGGTACTCAAGTATGTTGTGTTAAATAAAATACTGGTGAATAAAAAAGGCATAAATAGGTGAATAATTAAGGTATGGGAGAATGGAGATAAGAAGCAATAATAGGAGAATTTGAAAATACTTAAAGAAAATGGGGCCTTTCTTAAAGAAAATGGGGTATGACTTAAAGAAAATGGGGTATTACTTAAAGAAAATGGGGTATTACTTAAAGAAAATGGGGTATAACTTAAAGAAAATGGGATATTAAAGAAAACGGATTATTGCTGAAGGAAATAGAATAAAGAACATTGGATTGTAATATGGTACAAAAAAATATAAAATAAGTATAATAAATGAAGGAAAATAGACACTGGGTGAGATACATTAGAGAGAATACATGGATACTTAATATAGTTGATATATACTTAATAGAGATACATATAGTACTAAGAAATATATTAAGAATTGTATATTTATTGACATGTAGAGATATATAGAGGGAAGTAAAAAAAATTAGCATGTGATGGAAAAAAATGAGATTTAACAGGAAATTATACACACATTATATTGTTGTTGTGTTTGTATAATATATGGTTACTTGTAGATAGATATGGAAAAATATACTTATAATTGAGGTGTGAAAATCTTAATGACCAACCAGGTAAACTAATTAGAGATAGAGATAGAGAGAGAGAGATAGAGAGCATAATAAACACAGGATAATACACACACTAGATAATAAAAGAAGTTAATGTAAGAAAATATTGATAAACTGTAATATAATCTGGAATGAGGGAAGATATATTTTTTCCTTAATCCCCGCTGGTACTTGATACTGAACTAACTAGCCCCCAGCACTCGACAGCGTGTGCCTCAGGGTGGGTAATGTGTTGTGGCGCCTAGTTATGGCAACACATATCAACAGTAGTGAAGAATATGGCAACACCCTTGATAGTTTGTTTTATAAATTAATATTAATCCATATATAAATTATCTAAAAAAAATGTAGATATAGTCAATATAAATAATATGTATAGTTAATATATGAGAATTTGTATAATGAAGATTTAATTGGTACAGAATATGATTTCTTACCTGACATAACATACATACATCTTAAATCGTAGTTGTTTGTTTAATCTACTAATTGCTTTACCATCTAATGCAGCATACTTGCATGGATAGCACGCAACAATATCTCATAAATTGAATCCTAGTTAAATATTTACAGTATATATTTACATCAAGGTAATTATATATATATAAAGATAAATCAATAATCTCATACAATATATATAAAAAAAATAATAATTGTTTAGACTTGAAGTTATTTTATATGAATGCTCACTGATGTTATTGTTACTGGAGTACAATAGGGGTGTTGCCATATCTCTTTCCACTTACTTTAGATAGAGGACGAAGGAAGCGAACTTAAGTGGCACTTCAGTCTGGAGGAACATAACGCCCAACTCCGCTGTGAAGTGCCAAAGTTAGAGCAACGGCTTAAGGCAACTATGGGAAGGGTCAAGGTGAGGATGTGTTCTCCTACCCTTCTACCCTTCTCATCCATCTCCTTCTCCTACCCTTCTCATCCTCCTCCTTCTCCTACCCTTCTCATCCATCTTCTTCTCCTCCCTCTTTACCTCCTTGCCTGCCTGACACTCCCCTTATTTCACACGTGGCTGTTGTTTTTACCTCACCCCTGCCACTCTCTTGACCTCACCTCACCCCTGCCACTGTCTTGACCTCATCTCACCCCTGCCACTGTCCTGACCTCATCTCACCCCTGTTGTCGTGACCTCACCTCACCCCTGCCACTCTCTTGACCTCACCTCACCCCTGCCACTGTCTTGACCTCATCTCACCCCTGCCACTGTCCTGACCTCACCCTACCACCCTTAGTACCTCACCCTACTTCTCTCCTTACCTCACCCCTAACCGGATAGTCCTTCTCGACACCCTCACTACCTGATCCTCCCTGACCTTCCTTGATCCTCCCTGACATTCCATTTAAGTCTGATTCATCTTTTCTCTGATTCATCACTACTTTGACCCCGCCATCATCCTCATCATCATCATCATAAAGGGGTTCATACAAAGGAGTGTTAGTTACAAGACCAGCGAGGTTATCCTAAAACTATATCTTGCGCTTGTGAGACCTCACTTGGATTAAACAGTTCAGTTCTGGTCACCGTACTACAGAATGGATATAGAATCCCTAGAAAGAATTCAGAGGAGAATGACAAGACTAATCCCGGGCATTAGGAACCTTGAGTAGAGAGACAGGTTAAAGCATCTTAATGTGCACTCCCTCGAGAGACGTGAGAGTGAGGGGCGATATGATAGAGGTGTATAAATGGAAGTTAGGGCTAAACAAAGGTGAAACAAAGGTACTCAAACTATCCAACCAGGAGCGAACTCTTAGCAATGGATTTAAATTAGACAAATTTAGATTTAGGCGCGAGATAGGTAAACATTGGTTTGGAAATAGAGTAGTGGATGAGTGGAACAAGTTACCAAATATCATCATTAACTCGAATACACTGGATAGCTTCAAACATAGGTTGGATGGATATACGGGCAATAGGGGTTGGGTATAAAAGGGACTGCCCAGTATGAGCCAACAAGCCCGCTGCAGATTCCTCCATTCTTATCATCATCATCATCATCATCATCATCATCCTTCCTTCTCTCTGTCACCCTCGGGTCGCCTCGACAGTAGGTCACCATGGAAAGTTTGGTCACTGTCTTCTTTCCATTTGGTTGAATTGTCACTATTTTGACTGTCTTCACACTTGGCACAGTAAGTAGAGTTCAATAGGCTTCAGCCACAGCAGCTGGTGGGGTATTGTAAGTCAAGTACATTATATAAAACTGGTTTAATGATTGTGTGTCGATAATAGTGAATTGTATCCTGAGTCCCTAAGGTATTGTAGTAATGGTGTGGTCCCTAAGGTATTGTAGTAATGGTGTGGTCCCTAAGGTATTGTAGTAATGGTGTGGTCCCTAAGGGTATTGTAGTAATGGTGTGGTCCCTAAGGGTATTGTAGTAATGGTGTGGTCCCTAAGGGTATTGTAGTAATGGTGTGGTCCCTAAGGTATTGTAGTAATGGTGTGGTCCCTAAGGTATTGTAGTAATGGTGTGGTCCCTAAGGTATTGTAGTAATGGTGTGGTCCCTCAGGGTATTGTAGGTTAAGTACATCATATAAAAGTGATTTGAAGATTGTATGTGTCGATGGTGATTGTGTCCTGGTTTTCAAGAGAAGGAGATTTTGTTAATTATGTTATTTTCTTTAGTTGACAATAAACAGTACAGCTTAAAAATGATTCGAGTGCTACTTTTGGTGGATATTTTTAGCGGCTATTTTTAACGGCTATTTTGGGTGGCTATTTTTGGCGGCTATTTTGGTGACTATTTTTGTTGTTTACATTGAATACAAGTTGCAAAGAGGCTCCTGTTCGTGTATAATTCATCACATGTTATACACTGTGAGTACAATAACATACACAGTATACACAAGAAGCACAATAGACCATACATTATACACTGTGGGAGATGATCTATTAAAGTGTTAGGTCAAAGAACACATGTATAGACAGAATGAATAATAAAGATGAATAATATAGTGTTATAGAGGATTAACTTTCAATCATAGACCCAATATATAAAGGGTTTAAAATACTTCCTTATTCGGATAAAGATTTTAATGGTTCGGTTAATTTCGTACTTTGGAATTTCGTTAATATCAGTTAAATGGAGGGTTCACATATAATGGACCCTCAATATAAAGGACTTCCCTCTCCATATAGTCCATTAAACAGAGGCTTTGCATATAACGGACATTCAGTGACAGAAATATTGTAATGGCCCTTGTTTCATCAACAGAAGTATTATATAAATGGGTTAATTACATTTGATTTATATACTGATTCATCCCCTGTAACTTTCCACCAGCTATGAGGTGACATGTTCAATGTACGTGATAAGGTGTGCCCACAGGAAGCTGCATCATACTATGCTGAGTAAAGGCATAAAGTAGCCGGCTCTCTGGCCACCTGAAGCGAGCAGTAGTTTGATATCCTTGACTAGAGGAAGACGTTATTTGAGAGCCGCAGTGGATAGCTCCGTCTTCCCTCGAGGGAGGACGAAGTCCCTATTCCGTTCTCCCTCGATGGGTCACTACTCAGAGTCAGACTCATAAACTTACATCGTACGGACGTTGATTCACGTCTCTATACATAGCCGCCGTCCTCTCTCTTCACGCTCATTAATAGTGGAAGTTACGGTTTGAGCTACACTCAGGAATTATACAAACAATACTTTTTAATAAAAGAAGAAACTTCAATTGGGTTTCGTTACTAAAGCCCAATATAATATATATGTGTACCAACCTGGTTAACTTTGAATTAACCAGCCGGTTCAATATCCATTTCCATTTAGTCCGTTAAATGGAGGTTTCACTGTAGATGAAATAATTTTAAAGATATTTATAGAGAGAAAAAAAACGGTATTTAAGTTACTTTGGATTATATATCAGACGTGATTACTCTAGTTGATAAAGATGAGGTATTTCTCTTTCGTTAATAGTCTATGTAAGGAGAGATGCTTTAGAGTCAGCCTTCCATAACAAACTCGTAAGACTGTAGAGTATCTAAAAGTTCCTCAGCTAAGATATATCGGCATCTGATTTTAATATTTCAAGTAATAAAATAAAAAAATAAGAAAAATATGTGACTATTTACTCATTTATGGCATCCATTAATGATCACATGGGTAGTAATTAATTCTAACAATCATACAGACAATTATGAATGTTTTTATGATATCCTAATTAGAAAATGGATTAAATGTACTGAAGAGTTTGAAGCTTAATCACTACAAGATGTCCCCCAGTGTCCCATTATTAGTAATATATAAACCTTTTCCTGTATCTAAATTATGTCAATGAAATCACAGCACCTGTATCTCCTGTGGCAGGCGCTGGAGACTGCCCTGAAGGAGGCGAAGGAGGGCGCTATGAGGGACAGGAAGCGTTATCAGTACGAGGTAGACAGGATCAAGGAAGCAGTGAGGCAGAAGAACTTAGCCAGAAGGGGTCAAGGAGCCCATATTGGTGAGTCTTATAACGAGAACATTATCATCATTTTTAACTTCTTCACTATGGCGAAGCTCTTTTATTATTTCATGTTAAGATCGCCAGATGATTTAATTCAGCTCAGAGGAAGACCTGTACATAAGGGGTTACTAGATATTATGTTATTACTTTGCATTAACAACTAAGGTCTTTAAACACGTAAGCTCACTAGGTCATCAAGAGTTATTTTTTTATTGATATTTTACTCACTTCATTTTTATTAAGTTATCAAATCCTAAAGATATTAAAAAAAAATCAAAGAATACGATTTTGTTTCTGGTGTTGATAGTTTAATATGTTCATGACTACAAGACTGATTTTTCTCACAGCTAAGCCCATCCGTACTGGTCCAGCTAGCCTGTTGTCACGTCCTGGTGCGCTTGGCATGATGGGACGAACTCCGACAAATCCTCCCATCCCCCGCCAGTTTGTTGGTAAGTGTTGTGTTGACCTTTCGTCGTCTTAATCCCTTAGAAAAAAAATAATCAGACCAAAAAAGAGTTCTAGTTCAGAGGAAAAATATAACAAATTACTAATATGGAAAGTTATTAGAAATTAACATTTGTAATATACTAACCTTGAACTTTGTATATACTAACATTAGTAAATATTGTTCCTTGTAAACTTCAGTACATTTGATCTTATCTGATATTTCTCGCTAGACTTAATACTTCAATGTCTCACTTGTTATCTTCGTCTCTCACTAATTCTCTCTTACCTGTATTTGTTTCTATTCATCTTTATTACTTCTCAGTCTCCTCTTCTCTCCTTGTCTTCTTCTCTCTGTCATCAACCTTCTAACCTAACATAATCTTGTTAATTTCAGCCTCAAACAGCTAGATGTGAAGCCTCCCCCTCCTTCCGATCATCTCGTAGACTCCCCCTCCCCCCCTCTAGCAGCTACCTGGCACCATTAGACTCAATCGTCTCTGCTTCACGCCAACAACCTCCTCCCGTATCAACAATGTTTCATCCATTAGTTTGAGCCTTTGAGCCTTAGTCATTGTCTATATATTCGTCACGATGTATAAACTGCATCCCACCCTGAGATTGGATGCTTCGTTCATGTATACCTTCTGGTTCGCACGCATGAGTCAATGTATTGTGGGAGATTAGGGACCACTTTATACATATACATATAATTTCAAGTTATTTATTAATTATCTATGTATAAACGCCTCCAGATGTAAGGTTATATTCTCCAGTGTGTCTCAGTTGCTCATGAACACACACACACACACACACACACACACACACACACACACACACACACACACACACACACACACACACACACATTATATAATTCCAAACACTATTATTTATTGATCTACCTGTTTGTAATTAACCAAAGTTCATTAATAGTCAATATCATCATTAATTGTCAAAGAATGTCTAGAAAAAGTAAAAATATCAAGACAAAAATAAAAGTTGGTATAAAGTCTTCACGAAGTATTTAAAAAGTGGTTCCTATCTGTCCATAACTTTGCAATATACTTTTCCCCTTAATGAGATAATGGACTAAAAATACTTTCACTGGGAGAGATAAAACTATATATATATATCACACACAATTAATCCTCATTCAGATATATTATTTTGGCTGTTATATATGTTTCATTAATATACTTTGTAATTTGTAAAAAAAAAGTATAATAAAAATATAATCAATAAAATAATCCACCACTACAAAGTCTCCTCCACATTTACTTATTTTTTTCTATGTATTGAAGTTAATTTTAAGGGACTGACTCTGGGGATTAATTAAGTCTTATTAAGTCTTATAATGAATGAGACTTTTCTGTATCTGGCCTTCAATATGAAGTGAGTGCTATATCAAAATATATATCTGATCTTATTAATATATAGCATGATAAGAAGACTTGTCAACGACTAGTGAAGGTCCACTACTCATATATTGTACAGGGTGTCCCAGAAAGATGTCCCTGCCTCGCTCCCTCCCTTTCTGTTCTCTGCCTCTCTCCCTGCCTGCCTCCCTGCCTGCTCCCTGCCTCCCTCTCTCCCTTCCTGCTCCCTCCCTCCCTCCCTACTCCCTGCCTGCTCCCTGCCTCCCTCTCTCCCTTCCTGCTCCCTCCCTCCCTCCCTACTCCCTGCCTCCCTCTCTCCCTTCCTGCTCCCTCCAACTCACAGTGTCTCAGGGAGCAGGCGGGCAGGCAGGGACATTTATCGAGGTCACTCTATACTTGTGATGACACTCAACAACATACACCTATGTCAACAATGGTAACTATCATGAACTTGTAATTTATACCGTAATTGGTTGTTATTGTTCGTACCATTCACTGCTTAAGACGCTCATGCTATATATGGTTAAGATCACTGTGAAGGTGTGCTTGATAATGTCGTTGATTTATTTGGGTTATGTATTATAATATTGAGTTGTTAAAGGTCACGAGAGGTTATTCTTTATACATTAGGTCATGGGTGACTTTGATATTTATTTATCTGGAGTATTTATGCCGTTATGTTGTGGTTTGTTTATAAATTCTATGAGTTTGTAGAGTCAATTATTAAAGTCTGTTCGTCTCTCCTGAACCACGAACCCCCGAGAGATTCAGACTCATGAATCCGAAGCATTTATGTACAGGATAATGTATCAGTCTACTGCTTCGGGTTCATGAGTCTCAACTCCTGGGTTCGTGGCTCGGGAGGAGAGGTGAACGGACTTTAGTAGTTAACTGTACTGTACATTCGCCTTATATTTTAGTCTTTTCAGTTCATTATTCACAAGCAGGAAACTCAACTTTTCGTTAGTGAAAAGTGGGCAAGTTCCTTAAGTCTTGTGCAGTGTTGAGGAGGATATTAATATAAGGGTGTATGTGGGAAGTCCACTTTAAGTCAGTGTGATGGACTCAAAGTGCACTTATCACCAACTGACTTGATAATATTAAGTGTGTAAAGAAGAGTGCAGGTGTCATCAGTGGGTGTTTAAGTCTATCACAGGTGGTTGTAAGTGCATAGTGAGTGTATCATTGACTAGATACTGTACTTGTAAAACGTGGGAGATAGGAGTCTTTTTGTTGTATATACTGAACTAAACCTCTTTTACAATTACCTTGAAAAAAAAACCAGAGGAAATTTTATATTCTATGGATAAATCACAATACAGTTAATTTTCTTTCTTTTTATTGTAAATGTAATAAAAAAAATCACTTCTTGGGTGTAAAATAATCCGGTCTGGTAATTTAAATTGTGGAAGAGACCAAAAAATATTGATTGTAAAGTGATTGAAGGGAAAACTTAGAGGGAGTGAATAAAACCATAGTCATCAAAGCATAAAATTGTATAGAAGTCTGAAAGGTTTTTTGGATCTTTTTGGTTCTAGCTTTAATTAAGTAAACACATACACGCTGTACTGTGTATGTTTAACAGTGTCTGTACAGATAATAATAGGTTGTAATAAGCATTTAATAGAGTTCTCCCAATTTTGTGCTGGGATGTCTTCATATTTTTTCTTCTTTTTCTATTGACATAAACATTTAGAAGTATCATACTAAATAATTCATCATAAATTACTAATTTACATATTAATTTGTTAGTGTTATCGACATATATTTACCAAAGAACGTCTGTATTACACTTCTTTAAAATAATCCATGGTGCATGTACCGTTTACCTGCCCAGATCACCTGTGTTCTCAACCTCATTAAAATGATCACCTGTTGAGAAGCTTAAGTGAGATGGCGTCTATTAGTTAGGGTTTGGTAAGCTCATGTCATTCTTTTGTTAGCGGGAGAGATGTAAGTTCATTCATATAGATCCTAATCACATATTTAAGTTGTGTTCTTTAAAGGGTTGGATAAAACATAAGTAGAAATGACTAAAAAAGAAAATTCATTTACTATTGGCAACTAAGGGAAACGAACCTATTAAAAAGTTATCTAAATAGTGATATAATTTAGGTATAATACAACCCTTCGCCTCAATATGGTCCAGCATAAGAAGTTTTCTCAAGGTCACCATCCGTTCTCTGGAAACACTGATCACACCAGCTTAATAGATTTTGAGTTAGAAATAAACATATATTGTAAAGATGTGTTATGACTTGTATAAATTAAGGTGATCCGTCTGTTGTGAAATACGGACCTGGGGGAAAAAAATCACGAGTTTAATTTCTTCTCACTGTATCAATATTATATTTAGGGATGAAAGACTGATAGGGAATATAAACATATTGGACAAAACATTTATAACATCACTTCGTCTCTGAGTAGTGAAATGTTTTAATGAGGAATGAATTTAAATACCCGTCTTACAAACATGGTAAAATAGACGAAACAGATGAATGTGTTTACAGAAAAGTTAATAGTTTGTTCTACACTGTTTGGAATTCCTTCTTTAGGGCACAACCTGTTCCAAGAGAAGCTGAGGAAGAGGTGAAAGCCTCAGATGTACTGCCTAATGTGTCTCTCCTCATAATTATGTGCTCCTAATTATCCATCACTAATAATTTATGCATTTTGGATTAGCCTTTGATGCAGAGGGTCAATTATTGTTCGTCTGCAGAATCTCCGTAACATCCCTGACTTAACAGTGACGAGATCAGTGACTTTTTATCTAATGTGGAGTCGTCCGTGAAGTTAGAAGCTCCTGTCCAGTATGAAGAGAGAAATATGAGCCCCAATGGTGTCCTCTATGGAGCTCAATTATAAAGATCACGTCACCTATTCCTAGATGTTCTTTTTTAGTCTTCTGCTGTTATTTAAAGCAGGGAATCACAACACTTGATACTGTATATCATAAACAGTCAAGGCTCGAGCGGATTATTTCTCCCTTCGTGTGTTTTAGTGTTGCTTCTGGTGACGACATCAAGGAGTTGAATACAGAGACTGGTAGCTGTTTACGCTTGACAATATATGTATTAAACTATCAGAAGGAATTGTGCCCAGAGAAAAATGACCTCTTTGTTGATAAAAAAAAGTAAACAAATGTTATTTTTTGTATTTTGAGAAAAAACTTAAAAATATGGTTAAGTGAAACCCTGACCTGGCAGATTTAACGATAAGTAATATAGTTTATACTTACCTTTCTAAATTACCTAATAAGTGAGTTTCATTATGTATTTTAAGTCTAAAGAAAATAATTACCAGGCTACAAAATATCCCTAAATAATAATGTACACTACAGGATTTTTTTTATTTGATAGAGGTTGGTGAGAGAGGAATCTGTTCTTTGCTTGTGAATTGCTACAGATCTTCTGCTTCAATATGCTTCTGTGTTGCATTGGAGACAAAAAACAAAACCTGTTAAGCATAATTGTGTGTAGGTCCCAATACTGTCAATACTCAGTAAAACTATATCAACTTATATACCAAAAGGCGAAACGTTAAACTCAAGATGTAGTTTAGATAATAATGTTCCACGGTGTTGGTGAAATATTCTCTACATTTTTTGGCTTACCATTCCAATTTCCTCACGAGTACTGAAACATATACAGTATCTTGTTGCTCTTGGCTGGAAAAAAAAAAAAAACGTTAAATAACAACTACTGGCTGTTCAATGTTGTGTAGAGTCAAGCACATGATTTACTTACTAATTATATCAACACCAGAGAGGAAGTTGATCTTTATCTGTCAATATTATACAGTGCAAAGCCTCCTTGAGGGAGTCTTAAACCTCCCAAGTTCCATCATATTTCATGTATGTGTATGAGATTTAGCTTCTCTTAAACTATTATAATGGTATCGGAAGTTTTCATTGGCCAGTTGGGTTTGAATGAGTGTGTGTGTCTAGTTCCACGTCATATTTCAGCATATTTCATTTCCACGGGCCTGGTGCATGTCACGTGAATATATTGTTCTATATCATTGTTTGGCTAAATAATCTCACTTATATTGGGAAAAGAAAAATAGAAGAAAATTATTTTGTATGCCTATGGTAGTGTATCCTTGTATTATACACCTCTTAAAATATGTGTTTTTTTATTACCTTACAATAACCAGAGTCAATGGTTACCTACAATCACCTGTCGTTGGTGTTGTTAATATTAAATTCAGACTACAAAAAATTAATAATTCTACCACTTGTCGACGATGCCAGCAAGGAACTCATAATGTTGCCACCCTTACCGCTCCTCCACCCTTATCTGTCGTCCACCCTTACCTCTCCTCCACCCTTACCTGTCCTCCACCCTTACCTGTCCACCACCCTTACCTGTCCTCCACCCTTACCTCTCCTCAACCCTTACCTCTCCTCCACCCTTACCTGTCCTCCACCCTTACCTGTCCTCCACCCTTACCTGTCCTCCACCCTTACCTGTCCTCCACCCTTACCTCTCCTCCACCCTTACCTGTCCACCACCCTTACCTCTCCTCAACCCCTCGCAGCCACGACTGATGGACAGGTGAGCCATTAATTCCCACCTGTTCACTGTGGCCGGGCGCAGGGCTCTCCACCTCATCCGATTTAATCTCGCTTTTCATACCAGAATTGAGGGTTTGGGTTGGTTGAATTGATCCACTTGTGTAGCGTGTGTGGATATTGGTTGGATATTCTGTGTTTATGTG